ATCGTAAAACATCGATGGACTTGACTATCGATAGTTTGACAGCTCTAAATTATATGTAATAGCATGTAGAATGTACATATGTATGTACACAGATGGAAAACCAATCGTTCATCTTCATCAGGCAAAGGTAGGCAGTTTTGTCATTCGTTTATTAGGGTGTAATGATTTGCAGATGTATTCCGGTGCAAGTAAGAGACCATCTAAGTGTCAAGGTTACTAATATACAAATACCGTTTTCCAGTGTCACCGACGATATTTTAAAAGTAAGAATATATCTCTATGGTTTTTCTTCAAGAAGAAAGCCTTCTAAATTTTTTTATGGAATTATTATTTCAATAAAATCAAGAATGAAGTGTAATCTATTTTTATTGGGTTAGCTTATTAAAAGCTAAAAAAAGAAAATAAAAAAAATGTCCGCGCTGACCTGTCCTCGAAGTCGATACCTACTGAGTGGCAGTTTAAAGGTCTACATACTGGGCAACAGTGGTCGCCTTACCTACACTTTTCTTTTTATTAATATTAATTTAAAATGCATTCAAGAAGAAATCACATAGATTAAAAAGAAGTAAGTGCTTCTCAATGAATTCAAGATCGTTATATTAAGAGGAGTTTCATTTAAATCATGCAACCAAGCAGTTTTCGCTATGATTTTTAAAAGATATTTTTTTCAAAAAATTAAATAAGAATTAACTACGAAGGAATTACTCTTTCTTTGTTCTAATATAAAAGATGCAAAATTAAAAAAAAATACTAATAATAAAAAATATGTGTAGAATTTCCACAAAATAGCCTACTTCAATTCCAGCATTTCCCACTCTTTTTCATTCCTAGCACTTCTTGACCTTCCCTTGAGATGCTATTTAGTTCGGCCTCCGAGTGGCTGATTGTTCTTTTGAAAAGCTTTTTCAAGGCAGAAATTCATTCGCAGGATTACCACTGCCTGTCAAGTGAAGATCGCTAATAGAAAGTTTGTTTGTTCTTTATTTGGATGTTGCGTTAATAAAGCATGGAACCTAGGCCTTGAAGTTTT